TACTCTCCATCCGACAGACGCCAACGATGAGAGGCTGCTCCAGCCGAGCCAAGCAGAACCAGGACCGAGCGGGTAAGACGCGACGCTTCTCGGGCTTTAATCTCGTGTGTGTGCGCTGGAGGGCTGGATCTTTAATTCAGAGAGAGAGAGAGAGAGAGAGCAGCCGTGCAAGACGTAAACACGAGTCGATGTGTTGTCGGCGCTGTCACCTTTACCCTACATAACAACGACAGATCTCTGTCATGTGTGTGGGAATTCATGTAGAGAGAGGCAGCAGGAGGAGGGTGTGAGGTTGATGTGTGCTTTCTCCTCGGTTCTTACCAGGGCACTGTGCACACACACTGATGGGATACAGATGATGCTGCAGAGGTTGATGGTTTTTGCGTTTTCTGTGTTGTTGTGGTTGTTGTACCAGCACCACACATCCCTGAGTGCTCAGTGTGTTCTTATCAAAACACTGGTGAGGGGGGTCTCCCTCCTCCTCGCCCCCTCCTCTCTCTGCCCAGTGTTGTGCTAACACTGTGAACTGTGCAGGGACATGGACTTCTCCAGGACTTCTCCGGTGTGTAGTCCAGAGCTGAAGGCTGCTATCAGAGCCTGGCAGCTTACCAGAGGAGGAGGAGGAGGAGCAGCTCACAACTATTTCCTGTTCATGTCCCAGTGTACACTTAAAACTACTCCACAGATCTCATGATTATTTTAGGCTGAGGGCTACAATTTATTTGCCACAGGTACAGTGTGGGACAATCAAAACTCTGCAATGCACTGTTAAACTGTTGGTTTTACTCAACTGAAATAACCCCAACACATCCATTAATTAGCTAGTGTGCCATTTATTTGTGGATCTGATGAACCTGACATTTGATGATGAACCTGTCCACTGGCATTCAGGGAATATGAGACAGTAGGAACTTTATAATTAGAAAAGCTCCATCTCCCTTTATTCAGGTCACAGGCCCTGTTGCTCCAAACTCCATGCTTCCTATAATGAGTGTGTCTGGTGGTGCAGAGGGAACACGTAAACAAATGAATTGATAAGCACACTCACCTGAAAATGTACAGTAAGGTTTCCTCGTAAAGTCCTGTCTGTGTAAAGATAATTGTATTCATTATATTTTGTTGACCTGATGTTGGTGCAGTTGGTGGGTTCACGTCTGTGTTGCTGGACTTTATAAGCAGGAACTTATAGCAGCTGGATTGTATTACAGGTGTTTCGTGTATCTGTAGTTTACAAACCTGTGTCTACACAGACACAGAGCAGTGCTGCCATCTGATGGTCACTGTCTGCACATGCTTGAAGTGCCAGCCTCTGTGAGTGTTTGGAATGTATATCAGCAGCCTTCCCAGTCTGGACTGAGTCCCATTCTAATGGTTGAACACATTGGTGCTGCTCTTTGGCTGACTGGTTAACTCTAATTTTTTGGAAGTTACTATTATGTTACAGCACAGTTCTGTGGGATGGAACTTAACTTAGACATGTTCAAGTCTTTAGAAAACTATTAAAGAAAACCCCTGAGCAAAGTTAAGATAAAACATTAACGAGCAACAATGAAGATGTGGTGTACACAGATGTTTGAGCTATGGAGGAGCTGTGCTGGTGGAGCTTTGCTGAAAATGATGTGAAGTCACTGAATTCAGTGCACTACATAAGAATGATTAAGTTTTATTCAGTTTTAAAGCCACGTGTCTGAGTTTGTTTTAGCATGAGTTGTTGCAAAGTCACCACTTTGACCTTCTTGACCCCTTGATAACACAGTAAGGTTATCTAAGCTTCTCTGCTATGCTATCTCATTCAATAGTCAAAGTAGATGTCAAATAATTTATTTATGTTCAAATCTTCATTTTTCTGGCAAGTCAGCTTTTAATTAGCTATTCGATGCTATAAAAACTGTGTGAAAGGTCATAATTGAAATCTGAGACTGACGCACATTTGACTGAGCATGTGTACCAACACGAAATCGAAAGTGCAAGTTGGCAGCACTTTTGAGAGTATTGGCTTCATTTTTTAAAAGTGGCATGAGGTGGGGATTAGTGTGTTGTTCTGACTCAAGTCTTTTTGGACCCAACCAGGTTCAGAATGAATATTTCAAAATGATATTCAGGTTTGAATTGGGTTCTGTCATGTTGGATGGGCTGCCTGCTTAATTTTTCACACTGTGCGTGCCACTAATCTGTGAAAGCGTAATTCTCGGGTTGGGTTTTGTTAATTTTCTCACGGGTCAGGTTTGGACAGAAATTTGTGGTCCGAGTCGTGCTCTAATGGAGATGTGTTGTCCATCATTATTCCAGACTGACTCCAGATTGATGCATACTCTTAATGTAAAACAATCATTTACAAGTTAAGTTTGCCATCAGAATTTTGGGAGTGATAATTGGTCAATGTTATGTTTAGTTTGTCCTGCTGCCCCAAGAGGCTGAGAATAAACATCAATATTGCTTTAAATGAACATGTGTTATGAAAAACAGTTGCATGTAGACTGAGTTACATTGAGTTATAGACTGAAATAAACTAATATATGTCACTTGTTAGACTAGAGCATCCCTTCCATGGGCGTGCATAGCATGAGGCTAAAGTCACTGCTGTTTTTCTCACCTATACTGAGTTGTGTGTGAGTGTGTGTGTGTGTGTGGAGGGGTTAATTGTTTAATTATTATTATTGTTGCATAAATATTAGCAAATTTGGTTTGTGAAGTTTGACCGAAATATATCGTGAAATGATTTATAAATCAGAAATGATTTTTAAAATGTTTGCAAAGCAGTGCCCCATGCTCCCTATCATGATCTGTTGTTGGCCAAACCAAATGTCTCTCTCCTCTTCATCTTTCTAATCTATGGCACGTTTACATTGTGTTGTGTGTGTGTGCATGTCTTATGCCACTTACGGTACATGAGGCTGCGTGTTGCGCTCGCTCTGCGGTGATTACGGTAGCCCGTTGTGTGTCAGACCGGAGCACGTGACTCCTCCTTAGGGAGAGAAGCGCCGGGCGGGTAGTCCTCCCGCATCCATCCCGCACGGCAGCGCAGATGAAACACCGGTCACCTTCAGAGCAGCCTCCCGGGAAAAGGCCCCGTGATCCCGGTGCGGCCGCCTCCAGCTCCCCGGCCGACGGAATGGAGGACAAAGCGCCGTCAAATCCGCGGGAACTCACGCAGAACCCGCTGAAGAAGATCTGGATGCCGTATAAAAATGGCCTTCCAGAAAAACACATTTCTCAGAGGAAGGGTGCGTAAGAAGACGTGGCGACAAATGTTAGCATGTGTGTGTGTGGACGTTTCGTGTCCTCTGTGTGTGTGTGGACGTTTCGTGTCCTCTGTGTGTGTGTGTGGACGTTTCGTGTCCTCTGTGTGTGTGTGTGGTCTCATGGACGAGCACGCTGCGTGGTGACTTGAACCACTCACGTTAATCCGTCCTCTGCCTCCTCATCACCGCGTTGTCACAATCACTCTCCTGCGGATTTTGGACGCGGGGGCTCAGTTGACAGAGTTCGGATGTCTCGCTGCTGCTGCGGCCATCTGGTCCTCGCAGTTACGTAAGGATCCACATGGTGTCCGACGCAGAGGAGGGCTGCTCGCATGCAGGAGAAAGGACTGGCAGCGGGCTCGTCCATCTCATTGTTACCGTGTGTGCCAGGTCGGGCACCATGCAGGTGCTGGTAAACAGGGATTATTGTGTTCCCGGGTCATGTGAGTGGTGATGAGCCCTGTGGATGTGCTGCTGCTCTGTGTTTATCTGTGCATGTCCAGTGTCTCCTCACTGTGGAGGGATGCTCTAATCGAATGACACTGAAATCACGAGCTCCAGATATTGTGCACAAGTTTTGTTAAAGCAGCAAGACGAAACAGAGAGGAGGCTGTTAAATGTGCTGTGGTGCTTGATATCTGAACAGCTCTGTGCTCGGATTCCTGTTTTGTGAATTTCTTAAAGGACATCATCCTCCAAGACATGACACTTAACTGTTTGTCCGTTGAGGGTGAACGCTGGAACCAATCCCAGCTGACAATTCGGCAAGAAGCGAGGGACATCGACCCTGTCACAGAGCCAACATACAGAGACAAACAGCCATTTTCGCACACGTTCCCCTCTATGATCGATTTGGAGTCCCACATTTTGTCCTTTGGTTGTAGGAGGAAGTCGGACTAGCTGGAGAAAAGTCACGCAGATGCAGGGAGAATGTAAGCTCCACAGAAAGACGCTGGCCAAACCAGGAACCTTCTTGCTGTCAGGCGTCAGTGCTAACCACCGCACCACTGTACTGAAATGAGCGCGCTCTCTGACCCAGTCATCTGTGCACACACACACACACACACACTGTCAGCTGTCTCCAGATGTCTGGAGCACTTCATATACAGTATTTCACAACCAGTCAGACTTGTCCCCGGTGCCACCCTGACCTCTGCTCCTCGCTGTCAACATCATCCGAGTGGTGTGGTGTGACTTATTCTTTTAGGGCTGGATTACACCATCACACTGATAAGGGCAACAATCCCGTTTTAATTGTACAAGATGGTGCAAGGGATCATTTTGAAAATGAAAGCATGCTGAAGATGAGTTTTTCTGCATATCACATGTTCTGTGTTATCAGCACGATTGAAACTTTTCGGTTTTTCTCTCTCTCTCTCATTCCAGTATGCATGACAAACTGTCCCACCCTGATTGTGACAGTGGGCCTTCCTGCCAGGGGGAAGACCTACATCTCCAAGAAACTGACCCGCTATCTGAACTGGATCGGGGTTCCCACCAGAGGTAGGAGCTCACACGATGTCAGCCACAGTGAAACCAGTCTGATAAACTCTGAAAAAACAAGGCCCAACGGTCTTTATTGTCCGTTATTTTCCCAGAGTTCAATGTCGGCCAGTACAGGAGAGACTTTGTGAAGATCTACAAATCCTTCGAGTTCTTCCGTCCTGACAATGAGGAGGGGTTAAAGATCAGGCGGTAAGAACGTCTCCTGGCCCTACTCTGACCATTAAAAGTTTCATTCACTGCCAACCATGTGACATTTATGACAATCGTTATCTCTCATCTTTGCAGACAATGTGCCTCAGCAGCGTTGAATGATGTGCGACAGTACCTCACAGAAGAAGGAGGCCAAGTTGCAGTAGGTCAAATGTTCATGTTCGATCAGCTGGTTGGATGCAGTGTACAGTGTCTCATCCATTGTCCTCTGTTATAGGTGTTTGATGCAACAAACACCACCAGAGAAAGAAGAGAGACCATCATCCAGTTTGCGGAGCAGAATGGATTTAAGGTTGGATCACTGATGTTGGATTAGACAACGCATGAGTTAACTTTCATACTCATCCTCCTGACTTGTCCTCTTTCTACTCAGGTGTTCTTCGTGGAGTCTGTGTGTGAAGACCCAGATGTCATACAGGAGAACATTGTGGTGAGTGACTGTGTGTTTTGTTTTATCTTTGGAGAAAACAAACTTCAGCTCACGTCGTACTTACTCCCCTTCTCTTTCTCCGTTCAGCAAGTGAAGCTGGAAAGCCCCGACTACACCAACTGCAACACAGAGGAGGCTGTGGAGGATTTCATGAAGAGGATCAAGTGTTATGAAAACTCCTACGAGACACTGGATGAAGTTCTGGACAGGTGAGATAGAAGCTGGAGCAGAGTCTGTGACATCTCATATATTAGCTTAGAATGTTAGCATTTTAAAGTACATTCTGATCCTGTTCATCAGAACAAAGAGGTAATCATTTATTTCCTTTTAGTTTGAAAATGTAATCCTCACTTTGGATGTTTTGGTGATTTAGTCATGTTTGCAAAAAAAAAACAACCTTAAAATCCAAAACATTTTAGGTTGTGACATTAATCATGTGAGCTCGTTCAGTGATAATACATTTTATTTATACAGCACATTTATAAAGTTTTTTAGATGTGGTGGAAATATGATTAAAACATAGGGCGAATAAGATCAGGGAATACAATTAATTATAATCATTTAAAATACGGCAATAACACAGACAACAGGTAATAGAAACGGTGTACCATGATTAATATTAAGACCTAAGGCGCCAAAGAAAAGCGTATTCTAAAACCTAAGTAGTGTTTGAAAACAACCACCTAAAACTTGAGGCTATTCTAAACAGCTGAAAGAATCATTTACAATTTAAAAAATCTAATAAAAAATTCAGCCTCTGAATATTTGATAGGTTAAACCTTTTGCTTTCATTGTAAATCATTGCACTTTCCCAAAAGGTCATTTTAAGAAAAAAGACCAACAAAGCCATCAAACTTGTGGAGACATGTCTTGGTCAGTGGGAACATCATCTGAGTCTGAATTTTCTTTATTGTTTTCATCAATGAACCTCTGTTGTAACCTGCTTTAGTATCATCTGAGACGCTACTTTAAAAAACCTTTTKACAGGCTAAGTGTGCTGAAAAACAAACAGCATTCCCCAGAATGCATTTGCCTTCTCCGCAACCATATCAGCAAATCACAATGTGTTTCATCAGTCATGTCTTCAAATGATAGCATCATATAAAACACATACACATCCAGCTCCAGCACCCAGTCTCAAAGGTATAGACACGTATAGGTTGAATCAGGTCTAAATGGGTTGATAAAAGGCTTTTCTTAGAAAGATGTATTTTAATAAGTGCTTCAAAAGATGTCCCCGATTGTCCAGACAACAAATCCTCAGTGATCCATGTCAGCGATTAACTTATATTGTTAAACGTGTGTTCTCAAATCTACACATTGGTTTTCAGTCACTCTACAGTGTGTCTGGTCTGCTCTCAGGGATCTCTCCTACATTAAAATCATGGATGTGGGTCAGCGCTATCTAGTGAACCGGGTGTTGGACCACATCCAGAGCCGGATTGTCTACTACCTCATGAACATCCATATCACGCCGCGCTCCATCTACCTGTGCCGCCACGGCGAGAGCGAGCTCAATGTCAAGGGACGCATCGGAGGAGACTCGGGCCTCACTACTGGAGGCAAGGAGGTACATAAAACCGTTTCATCGTAGGTTTGTCTGTTTGTAGGTGAGTTTATTGACAGTATATATTTTTTACCTCTGTGCAGTTTGCTAAGAAGCTGAACCAGTTCATCCAGGCGCAGGGCATCAGTGACCTGAAGGTGTGGACCAGTCAGATGAAGAGAACCATCCAGACAGCAGAGGCTCTCTGTGTGCCATATGAACAGTGGAAAGTCCTGAACGAAATTGACGCAGTGAGTATAATGCTCCTGACTGCTGGGCCTCGACATCAGTGCAGTGTTCCTGGAGTTTAATCTGTGTGCAATGTCATTTCAGGGAGTGTGTGAGGAGATGATGTATGAGGAGATCCAGGGGAACTATCCTCTGGAGTTTGCCCTGAGGGACCAGGACAAATATCGCTATCGGTACCCGAAAGGAGAGGTCAGCGGCAAGAACTGTTATTTCTGCAGCTGTGATGTGGTTGTGTAACTGTCCCACTGTCCTCTTCTGTTTTAACAATAGGGTAGCATGCTTACGGACAGTGTGTCTCTGTTTGAAGTTTGGCAAGAAGGACTCAACCATCATTTGTGAATATAATGACACATACTCACTCTCCCTCTTACACACACACAGGCCATGGAAGACTATTAAACTGTCTCCAGATGGCTGCCAGCCACTTACTCAACTAATGAGCCTCAGTGTGCACGAGAAGAGTCTCAGACATTAAGGCAGTAAACAAAGTATGAGTGTGTTTGTATACTGTGGGGCTGAATGCCCGCTGGTCTGTTCTCACTTTTAGTCCAACTCATTACCTCTCCATTAATCTCACATGGGAAGATGGATGTGGGCATTAGTGCATTAGTTGGCTGTCCAGGCACACAGCGCTTGTGCAGTGCTCTGGGGAATCTTGCGATGGCAGTAATGGTCCTGATTGACTGTATGGATTTTTACCACTTGGTAGAAAATCAATATGTCAGCCTGTGTTTAATGATGCAGCAGTACGTGTGAAGAAGAGGGACTGACGGGATGTTTTCATTCACAGATCTACAGCTCTTTCTGGTCATTTTACTTCTTTATTGTGATGTCATCAGTAGAAATAAATATGGGTAAAGCAGGCTGTAGGTTTACGATGATTCTCAGTCCGCAGTTTCTTTCCATAAGTCTGATTCACCTTTTCTGATGTCTTCCCTCTCTCAGTCCTATGAAGACCTGGTGCAGCGGTTGGAGCCGGTCATCATGGAGCTGGAGAGGCAGGAGAACGTTCTGGTCGTCTGTCACCAGGCCGTCATGCGTTGCTTATTGGCCTATTTCCTGGACAAAACTGCAGGTAAGTCATTTCCCCGAAGCTAAGGCTACATCCATACTAATACATTTTCATTTGAAAACTAAATCTATCTCTGTCCACACAAGCGGTTGTAGCTCTACATCACTAATATTCCCCATCAATATTAAGACTGATAGTGACATATTAACAAATGTTGCCATTTATATACACTGGGCATGTGTTCATGAAAGTAGCTGTTTACAATGTTCTGCTTCCCCCTCTGGTAGTCAAGTAGAAACTTATAAGAACCAATCTGAAAGCACCTGGGATCGACTGCATCAGCGTTTTCATCTGTCTGTATTTGCCAACATAACCCCGGAGTTTAAAAACTAAACCTGGGCCAACAGCGTTTCCAGTTGTTGTGTGGAAAGAGGCATAACCATAATGCACTTTAAAACGAAAAAAGTGTAGATTTTTTAATGTGCTCATTTATGTCACACAGAAATCAGCACTGATTTTGTTCAGTGGACTTTTGAAGTTGTTGAACAGCATTATGGGAAATGAAGGAAGACAAAATTTGCTAAGTGGATTAGGGAAATGTGAATTCACAAAAAAACTGTTTTAAAAATGCCAAAAAAAGACTACAGTAGTAAATTATCAAAAATACTATAGTATACATTGTAACTACCAAGAAGGCTCATCGGGTCTAGAACAAAGTTTGCTTTCAGGAAAAATGATGCTTCAAGATAAAAAAAGATAGATTATAGTAGATAGTGTTTGGGTTTATTCTGTCATTTTATGAACTGTGCGTTTCTCTTCACACAGAGGAACTGCCGTACCTGAAGTGCCCATTGCACACAGTGCTGAAGTTAACACCGGTGGCCTACGGTAGGACTGGTCTGCTACCAGTGCACATTACACCCACTGAATCTCTGTCTGTTGCTGTTGTTCACTCTTCTGTTTCCTAATCTTCTCACCTTTCTATGGGCTCAGGCTGTAAAGTGGAGTCCATCAGCCTAAACGTGGATGCGGTCAACACACACAGAGAGAGACCAGAGGTATGAGACGCACACACACAGGCACACACACACAC